CCTGTCCACTCTTCCAGGACTGATGTTTTTGTATCACCCTTTCGATTTTATTTAGCCTGTTTGAGTCACGACAGTTCAGAGTTTGCCAAGCAGATTTTTAGTTAGGAGCCCCCGGGGACAGCGCAGGCTGTCTTGGGTATAGGGTGGCAATGACCTTCAGTAACTAGCTTCTCTGACGGTCGGCTACTTCTCTGCACTAGTGACTTCGTGTCTTTGTTTTTCCAGGTAAATACGCAGAGGACATTTTTGGAGAGCTCTTTGCTCAGGCCAACACCTTTGCCTCTCGGGTAAGCTTCCTTGCTGAGAGGGTAGACCGACTCCAGGTGAAAGTCACGCAGCTGGACCCCAAGGAGGAGGAGGGTAAGAGGCTGAGCTCGGCACTGCAGGCGTGCTCATGGTCTCCGCGTCCGCATTTTGTCCCGATATATTAAAAAGTGAGGGGAGGGAACCAGCAGTTAGCGTAATGGCTATGTCGCTGGACTCCCACGTAGTCGACCGCGGTTCGTGTCCCGGACCCGGTGGCTTAAAACTCACGCCGGGCGCGTGTGCGTGCGTGCCCAAGATCCCGAGAGGAGAATGGAGGAGAAGGGATTGCGGCGTGACCATCCCCCCTGGGGGGTGATTTCTCCTCTCTGTCTCTCTCTGTCTGTCGGGCGAGCGCACGCGCCCTACAGTGAAAACTCTCTCCAAAAAAAAAAAAAAAAAGTGAGGGGAGAAATCACAAAGCCCCATGGAGCTCCGCCGTGAAGCAGCACCAGCTGGGTGGTGTGCAGAGACTGTTCCCTGCCACACCGACACACTCCCCCTTCCCCAGCTCCCGATTCCCTTGTTCTCAAATTCCCCTTCCCTCTGTCTGTCTTTGATACCATGAAAGTACTTAGAGGACCCATTCCCTTCCTCCAAGGAAGAGGCCTGCTAGGTCTGGCCACAGAGTAAGCCTTCGTGTTGCCTCGTTTTGTTCAGTCAGGAAATGGCTGGCCTGCCCCACCACCTGTGGCTGGCCTGCCCCACCACCTGTGGCTTCCCCGAGTGGGAGGGAAGAGGCCTGGCAGACAGCACGGCCGAAACGTGCAGGAGCCGAGGCCTGCGTGGCATGATGACTGCGTGTGCTCCTGTGGCCTGCGGTCCCCCTTCCAACACCTTCCACCTTCTCCCAGTGTCCCTGCAGGGCATCAACACCCGCAAGGCCTTCAGAAGCTCCACCATTCAAGACCAGAAGCTTTTTGACAGAAACTCGCTCCCGGCGCCCGTCCTGGACACATACA